GCAAAGGGGGGGGGGGGGATGATTTGTTTGCAGTGTGGTGGAGAGCTTTGTTGTAGCCTGAACTGCCAGTCAGAGATCAAATCAAGCCCGAATTATCGCTAGAGGCAAAAATTATGACTCCTAAAGGAAGCCACGAGCTTGAGTTTGCCAGAGTTGAGCAGGGCTCTTGAGGGCAGGACATGTTGGCGAGGGCTCGTTCAAACCCCGTGGCTTTTCACATTTAATGATATTTTAACAGGGTGGTCCTCCGCTTGATCGCCCCTGCAAATAACTCCTGACCGCCATCTCCTTATTTAACCTTCCTGGCACCTTTTGCTCTTTCTGTGACTCACTGCTTTTAACGGCAGCGAGTGGCTTTGCTCATTCCAGTAAATCAAGGGCCAGCTCTTCAAAGGATGTTTGGTGTTTCGTGGCATGCATGGATGGATGGAGGGAGGGATGGATGGATCGAGGGAGGGATGGATGGATCGAGGGATAGAGAGAGATGGAGGGAGGGAGGGATGGATGGATGGAGGGAGGGACGGATGGATGGATGGAGGGAGGGAGGGAGGGATCTATAAATACTCCTTCCCTCCCTCCTCTTCTGCAACGTTCCCAGAAGTGGCCTTTCAGCCAAGGAAGACCCCATTATGAGATGAACCGACTCCCTAAAGGAAGCCACGAGCTTGAGTTTGCAAGAGCTGAGCCGGGCTCTTGAGGGCAGGACATGTTGCCGAGGGCTCGTTCGTGGATGGGGTCACCGTAGGACAGGAATGACTTGACAGCACATCAGAACAACCAAGAGCCGCTAAAAAAAAAATCATCTCACACACACACACGTAACATTTATTCGACTCCTTTGCCGATGGGAAGAAGAAAGCCTGGGGCACTCACGGGCGGGAGTGGGCCGTCTCGTAGCGCTCGAAGGCGTGGGAGAGGTCGTGCTTGTTGTTCATGTAGCACTGCATGCACAGGTCGTAATCGAAGCACACCTTGCACTTCCAGCGCATCCCTCGGATCCCGTGCTTCTTGCAACAGTCGCAGATGATGTTGTGGTGGCGGACGCCTGTCCGAGGGCAGAGAGCGGAAATGCAAGGGTTACTGTTGCCGGCGGTTCCCGCACCAAAGCAACGACAGAGGCTCCCGCCTCAAAAGTTGGCAACGTACATTAGGATTTGTGGTATCCACTGATTCGCTTATCTGCTGCCCAAAAGGATTAAATTAAAAAAAATCCCAGAAATAAATATTTAGATATATTTCTAGGAATTTAGAGGCCATGCATTCGATGTGTCCATGTTTTCTTTCATTTGCAAGGGGCCTTGAACCAATTCACCATGGATAGTACAGTCCTACTTTATATGGCACAGTCTCTGGTTCCCTCTAGTGGACAGTTCTGGTAGTACACCATGGAAATACATATTTCTGGGTTTTTTTATTTAATATTTTCAGGCAGTAGACAAGTGACACCGTAGGTACTGATCCCGCGGAGACGGCAGTCCTACTACAGTATAATTTCCAAAATTTCCAGTGACACAGCCCCTAGCTGGTCCACCCTATCTTATTTTAAATCCTGACCCATTTTTAAAACCATTAAAAAACCTCAAAATATTTTGGTGTTCACCTAGAGAGATCCTGATTCAACGCATGGATCACATCTTTATTTGTACATTTTCACCTTGACCTTTCACAAGGGTTGGCCCTGAACATCCCATAATACTAACCATGAAGGCAGCCAACCTTTGCACTCCCAGAACTGGAATCACACCTTGAGCAGACCCCTCCCCCCAGATCAATGGGATTTGTGCAACGTTAAGAGATTCAGTGGGTCTAGAGAGCTGCATAGCCTGGTGTCATGGATGGGCTGTCAGAATAGGACTCAGGGGATCCGGGTTCAAATCCCGACTCAGCCATGGAATCCGAGACTCGTCTTGCGTGGCTGCAGAGGCCAACAAGGAGGCCACCCGATCATCATTCCAAGAGGCCGCTGGTCGGAGAGGACACATCTGGCTCCTTCAGGGGGAGAGCGCTCCTTAAGATGTAGAGGGCTCCCCCAGATCAGGCGTATTCTCAGAGGACATAACCCTTCCAGGTCGGACTAAAAGCTTGCAGCTGGTTAGAGGGGAGACTCTGGAGGACGTACGCCTGCATTTCTGGGTTTCCCACCGTGGAAACCACAGAGTTGAACACAGCTTAAGAACCTTCCCTGCTCCAGAATCCTTAGTTCCTCAAAGCAGCCCCTGTTCCACGGTGCTTAACTTCAGCTGTATGCTGGATTATTGCCTCTGGAGCTCTCTCCAGACCTGGTGGCTCTTCCACATTGGGTTCCAGATGGTTTCTGGACCTGTGCCCTTCTAGAGCGCCTGTAACGTGCAGGCTGCAGAGGGGCAGAGACTGGTAATGATAACCGGTCGTGTCTGTCCCACAACCGCCTCCCTTCGCAAAACGTACCTATCTGTGCATTGTCGTACAGAAGCAGGTCATAGGCTCCTTGGAACCCAGTCCGATAGTTGGTCCGGGTCCCGTGATCCCATTGCACCACCACCGTCTTATCCGGCGTCGTTGGGCTCCCTTGGCGGCCGATCTCCACCACCGTCCCGACGTTCCCTTCCCCGTTGTCTTGGTTGTTCCACTTCCAGTCCAGGCCACGGACCACCCGCATCCCGACCTGCATGCTGGCGTTGGGGTCACAGGCCATTCCCCGGCATGTGGGCCCCCTCAGCTCGCAAACCGGCCACCAGCGGGTTCGTAAAACAGCGGGCGAAGCATCGAGCCAACCTACAAGAGATGCATAGGGGCAGATTTGAGACGAATGGTTTAAGAATGCAAATACTGAAGCCATGATTTTTTTAAAAAAAAATCACTCCATGAAAGACTAATTCTATAAAGTAGGACCTTCTTATCACGGAATGCAAATACTGAAGCCATGATTTTTTTTTAAAAATCACACCACGAAAGACTAATTCTATAAAGTAGGACCTTTCTATCACGATCCGCTGATTCGTTTATCCACTGCCTGAAAAGACTAAAGAAAAATCCTCAGAAATACATATTTCTATGTATATTTCCAGGGTGTATTTACAAGAAATACATATTTATATGTATATTTCCAGGGCCAGCCACTAGAGAGAGCCAGAGATCACGCAATGTACAGCGTTCCCTATTTCTGCAATTTTCAGCATCCACAGGGTGGGGGGGCGCGCGCGTGGAGACCATCCCCTCTGGATATCAAAGTCACATCCCATATTATTGCTTTACTTCATCGGGAAAATTTAGCAGAGGCGTTGCTGCATTCTCTCCATATGTTTCCACCGAGGGAGCGTGATTTAGACCTTGCAAAACTGAAGTGAATCGCTGAAATGTATTCTGTGTCTTTAAAATAAGAGTATCTGCCTGTTGATTTAATTGAAAGATGCATTTAGTTGCTGATTGGGGTTCTTTATTTCCTTTTTGTAGCTACAGAAGGTGTTACATGTATCGACCTAGCCTGTCTTGAATTTGTTGCACAAATTCAAAGCTGATACTGCGTTGCCTCGGTTTGTATTTGTCTACTTTTCAAAACTCTAAAGCTCCCTTCAGAGAAGCCAACCGGTCTAATGACATCGGTTTCGTATCTTTTCCCGGAGCCGAAACATTTCCTGAAGGCAGAGCAGACATAGCGGAAGTCCTTCTAGAGAAGGCATTTTATTCAAAAGAGAGACGAAGCCGGAGAGTTTGTGAATCAAAACTGGGTCACCAATGCTTGGGAGTTTGCCTTGTATCCTAGATATACGCTACCAGTCAGAACACGTCCAACGGGGTTCTGTTTAAAGAGATATGATAAAGAGAGACAGCCCCTCGGTCCCAAATCCGAAGCCTGCTTTTAATTTCAGAAAAGGGAATCATGGGATACTGAGTGAGCCATGAGCTCTTTAACAGCAAAGAGAAACGTCCGCAAAGGAGAAATTTGAAAAGTCACTGATTTCGAAATACTTGGTTGTCCCCCAGAAGCCCAATGACGTCAACTCAATGCTGACTTTTCAAAGTTTTCCCGGTAGAGAAGACACAGGTTTCCCTTTCCCTTCCTCCAGGGGGCGCCCTGTGACGGTGCAGCTGGCCCAGGGCTACCCAAGCTGGCTCTTCTCTCCAGAGGGGAATCGAACTCCCAACCTCTGGCTCCAAAACCAGAGACCTCAACCACTGAGCTATCCAGATAACTCTTTCTAGGTATATGGTGCTCAGACTGTGGTTCATCATTCCCTCTGGCTCCAAAACCAGAGACCTCAACCACTGAGCTATCCAGATAATTCTTTCTAGGTATATGGTGCTCAGACCTGGTTCATTATTCCCTTCTTCTGAGGTTACGAGACCTCAACCACTGAGCTATCCAGATAACTCTTTCTAGGTATATGGTGCTCAGACTGTGGTTCATCATTCCCTTCTTCTGAAGCTACTCTGGGACTGTGCAGCTGGCCCAGGGCTACCCAGGCTGGCTCTTCTCCCAGGAAGCCCAGTGAGTCCAGTACTCTAAAAAGTACTTTAACAAGTGCAGCATCGACGCCACTGCTTCCACGGTGAGTACAAATTATATGAATTTGAAACTGCGGACAGAATCCTCCCCCCTCACCCCAAAAATATCTCTGCTCCACTGCTTCCACGGTGAGTACAAATTATATGAATTTGAAACTGCGGACAGAATCCTTCCCCCCCCCGAAAATATCTCTGCTTTCATTAATGTGGGGGAAGGTTTTGAAGCCCCAGGCAGGGGACCAGCCATTCATTCCTGAACAGCTTTATGGGCAAGCTAGAAAAGAGAGGGAGGTGGAGAACGGGATGACCAGAAAATGTATTTATTGGTTGATTTTTTTTTCTTTAGGCTGCTTTTCTCCCACAATGTCGAAACAGAGAATACTAAAAGTGCAATCCATTCTGAAGTTTTTAAAATAAATAAATAAACACACATGAGTAATTAAACATCGCTCAATTCATGATGCAATAATTCAAGAGTGTTTTAAAACAGCTCAGCGGCTTAGGTCTCTGGCTGCGGAAAGCCAGAGGTTGGGAGTTCGATTCTCTCCGGTGCCTCAGTGACAAGAGGATGGATTCGGTGATCCACAGGGTCGCTTCCAGCTCTACCATTTAGCGGCTGGATAGCTCAGTGGTTGAGGCATCTGGCTGCAGAGCCAGAGGTAGGGAGTTCGAATCCCCCAACGGGCCTCCTTGAGAGGAGCTGGACTCGCTGATCCACAGGGTCCCTTCCAGTTCTGCCGTTCCAAGATCAGTATTATTACAACTTTTAAAAACATACTTAGAAGATAAGAAGGAGGAGGGCCAGGTGAGGGCAGAGAAAGAGGGGAGGGGGGTCAGAGAGGAAAGAAAGAGAAGGAGGAGAGAGAAATGGAGCCCAGCCTCCATTTCTGGGGTCCTCGACAGGAAAACAACAACAACGCACAAGACGTTTTGCACAGGTGTAGAGTTTTTGAGAGGCTTTAAACCCTCCACAAGCCCCTCGTGTGAAATTTCGAAAGGAAGGGACTTCCCACAGAAAACGGCAAATCTTTCCATTGTAGTCCTGCTTCCCCCCCCCTTTGATGAAACCGTGCTAAAATTAGATCTGAAGCTAAAAATACAATGGGAATTGGGGGCCCTTTTTGTCAGCTCTCTCTCTCTCTCTCTCTCACACACACACACACACACACACACACAGAGAGAGAGAGAGAGAGAGAGAGAGAGAGAGAGAGAAGAGGGCCATAAATTAAAAACCGTGGGCAGTCTCCACAGCAATCCCGCCTCGGAAGGAACAAAGTTTGATAAAAATAGATGCATAAAGGTCATGGGTTTCTTAATCCCAGTTCCTATTGTGTCAATATGTAATGCCCCGGAGTCACACCAGTGTTCAAAACGGGCGCACTTCAGGCCACAACCACACACCCACTGCGTGCGGGCTTTCTTGTTCACTGCGCGTCGTGCGGAATCGGCACAGTGGCTGTTTCCTCGCACCTGATTCCCACCCAGAGTTTTCTCCCGGCAAAGGCCAAGCCCTGCTGTTTAAAAGCATCGCCTCTCGCTGCAGGCAGACGGGTTCCCGTAAATATCTTCCCGGATGCCACGGCTAATAGGTGGCCGTGGAATTAAGAAACCAGGAAGCAGGGGATGTTAGTTTACAAAACAGGGCGCTCTTTTGTAGCTGCTGAGCAATCTGAAAGAACATAATAGACAAGAGAGTTCTGGCGGGCCACAGGGTTATTTTGCTGCCACAGGAAGATCAAAAGTCAACCTCCCCTCCTTCCAGAGGTTTGAGGGAACAAGTTACATGTTAGAGAGAAGGAGGGCTACTTAACAAGGGTTTGGAAAAGGTGAACAAGCGGAAGCTTGGTAACTTATAACTTGAAACATCCTTCCATTGACCATCTCACCAGCAGCAACCTGATGGACTAAACCCATCATTCCCTTAAACAAACAACATAGGTACTCCCCTCCTGTAGATGCTGGTCCTGTTTCAATAAATCCCATCACATTAATTTTTTTCTATTTCATGGGGGCTGTGGGATTTTTTTTTCAAAGAGTTCTCGTGAGAGGCAAGAAGGCTCATGGGTGTTCTGGTCTCTGGCTGTGGAGCCAGAAGTTGGGAGTTCGATTCCCCCACTGGGCCTCCTTGGGAGGGGCTGGAATGGATGATCCCATAGGGTCCCTTCCAGATCTGCAGCTCTAAGAGGATGATTATATCACCACCCTAACACTCACTAGTAGGAGACGGCTAGCTTTGGAGCATCCTGGGGCCAAAGCTCTCGTTCACCCTGTTTGAAGCTCCTGGCACTTTCTTAGATAGACATCTACTAGAAAACAGTCCAGACAGGAAAGTCTGAAGAGAGTTTGAAGATGTTGCAATAGGTAAGGGGGGAAAAATAAGTCAAGGTCAGACCGAAAAGGATTACTCAGTAATTAATATCTCCGTTCCCAGCAGTCAGGGGTTGTTCTTGCTAACTTCATTTGGCTAGATTTAGTATCCTTCAAAGAAGGCGGAAAGGAAGGGTAGCTGTATTGACAAATAAAGAGTTGACTGATGGGATTTTTGCAATTCTGAAGACTACAAGCCCCATCATTCTCCATGCTGGGAGTTTAACCTGACTTACAGATACTGTAGAGACGCCTCACTCTGGCTCACCTGGGAGAAAGGCCTAGACTGTAAGGCTTTGAGGCCTAGCTAGGCCTAGCTTCCTGTCCAGAAAGGCACTGGGGTAGGAACAGGAAGATGGCACGGAGCTAGGCCTAGCTTGGCCTGAAAAGCTTGCATTTTAGGCCTTTTCTCCCAGGTGAGCCGTATTTTATTTATTATTATTTATTTAATTTATATGCCACCCACTCTACCCAGGTAACTGTAACGTGGGTGTAAGCTAGGACAAACTCTCAGAATCGAGAATGATCAGATTTGTAGTCCCTGAAATCCGAAAATCCCATTCCCGTTGACCACGCTGTAAGGAACTGCAGATATTGCCGCCCTGTCTAGGTTTGGTTCCTTGCCGAAGGTGACTTTATTGTCAGACACGTTCAGAGCAGATGGTCTTGCTATGATCCATGCCAACCTTTTCCCCAAAGGCAGGAAGGAGCATTCAAAAGGAACTCGAGATCAACAAACGTTTTGACAGGCCTGCTCTGGGCATCGGGAGGAACAGATGGGGAAACTTCCTTGAGCCACCTCTTTGACCTTGAAATCACGGC